CATTTCCAGAACTTTTCCATCATCCCCTGCACAGACTTTGTCTCCATTAAACATGAGCTCTCCATTCCCTCCTCCTCCTCATCCCTGGTAACCTCACTTCTACTTACTACAGCTACTGATTTGCTTATTCTAGGTACCTTACAGAATTGGAATGGTTCAATAATTGCTCTTTTGTGGATCTTCCTCTTTTTGTCTATCTATATGTTTAAAATTTAAAAAGAAAGGGAAAGAGAAAACCCTGGGAGGGAGTTGTGGTATGTGGTCTTTGGTGGTTTCATTTCAGGTTGTGCCATGAGGTCCTTCCTGCTCCGCTGCCATCACCTAGGGTGGAGGTCATGGTTTGACCTCCCTCTCAGCCTGGCAGCACGGAGTCGGCATTCAGGGGTTGAGAGGGCTGCCCACGGTGTGGCTTGCTGGTCTCTGACAGCTGGGCTTTGGACCAGGCCCCTGTTGCCGAATCATCCCATTGCAGGGTGCCCTGTATGAGGTGGTCATTTGGAGGTGTACTTGGGGCTCACCATGCCTCGAACCTAACAGCTGGTCTGCAGTGGTAGAGGTCCCAACCAGGTGGAAGTGTGTTGCTGAGATCATTCTTCCCTGATAATTGAAGACAAATGTCTTCACCTTTCTATTTCAGGCATCCTTTGTGTGTGTTCTAGACCCTGCTGCTTGACTCAACTTCTGAAATACCCGCCATGGTGACTGTGAGCATGGCTGTTGAAAGTTTTACCCACAGACTGGATCAGCCTGACTGTGTGCAGGGAGGACTTTAGCTGGTGGGGTCGAAGTGCTTCAGGGGGCAGGGCAGCTCGGACGATCAGTGCCCTCTGCTGAAGCTCCACGTGGTTGATCAAGTGGGTACTTGGGGCATGGATTGCGTAGGTGACATGTGCAATGCGGGGAGGAGGGGCAGGGAAGATGGTGTGTAAGTTTCAGGTTCTGTTCTGAAGCGAGAGGAGGCAGGAAGCTTATGGACCAAGAATTGGGACACTAAGTTGCATGGCTGTAGTCAGGGATCACAGGAGCAGGCTGAGTGGCTTTTCTCTGGAACACCTCGTTCTGTGGAAAATGCTTTAAGTTCCATGTCAAGTGATCCCCAGAAGGGCTCGCCAGATCCTTCAGCGAGGTGGTGAAAGAATGTGTTTGGGAGGGATAGACATGCTCCCTGGGCTGCCTGAAGTTTCTTTGCTGAGCTCTTTCTGTTTCCTATCTGCCTAGCTGGAGGCAGACAATTGGGGAAGTATAAATATTTGACTGAGATGGCCTTTGAAGATCATTTATGAAGTTCTGTTTTTCCTAGTGCTGATTTTCTTTAGCGTTAGTCAGTCCACAGGTGGCAGGGCAGACAGAAGAGGGTGTGAATGTGGTTTTGTGGAAAACTTCCCCTCAGCCTCTGGAAATATTCTGGAAACCCCCTACCCCTCACACTGCCTGGCACCAGGAAGGGTCCGAGAAAACCCCGCCATCTCTCCAAACCCAGAGTCTCACCCTATAGTGCCAAAAAAGGAAGAGTTGCTGGGGTTCCCTTTAGGAAGGGGATGTGAAGTCAGAGACGAGCCTCAGAGAAGCCACTTGGTAAACAGGAAGTGTGGGCGGCAGAGCAACCTGGGCTCTAAGGAAGCGGCTGGAGGAGGGCCCTGCTCACCTGCGGTCCCTGCAGGGCTGCAGCCCCTAGCTGGGCAGCTGGTTGGAGCCTGGGAGTGAGACAGGCCTCGGGCCTTCCCTGTGGAACAGGGTGCTACTTAAATCTTGTAATTATGGGGCTGGAGGAGAACTTCATTTGTCCTCACCCAGGTAGGACATTAAAACTACTCTATAAAATAGCTCTCAGTTTTGAGAAATGCAGGTCAAGGGATGCCGAGTCTCAGTTGTCCTGTGAAGGCCAGGGTGACCCCAACCAGCCTCCCACTCTGTCCTTGGCCCCGCTTGGCACTCTGGCTTCCTACTTTGTTGAACTGCAGCACATGAGGGGTGCATCTTAGCAGAGCCCCTCTAGTTGAAGGTGATGGAGGTGCTGCTTCCTGGAGGCAGAGGCGACTGTAGATACTGGAGGGTTAACATGCTACAACTTTGGTTTCTCTGAGCCAGTCTAAATTCTCATTCCTCACACTTTCTTTCGCATACCCATACACCCATACATACACATTCACACACATTCACACACACACACATACACACACACACTCACACACACACTCACTACCTTTTGTACCCATACTTATACATTTATATACACCTATAATTTTTCTTTCTGCAGTTTTTATTTCTTTTTTCCTTCCTTATATATTGAGATTTTTTATAGTGAGGTTTTACTTTATGCCTTTTTCTGGCCTAGTTCTCATAATACACAGCTAAGGGTCATGGATTTCTTCTAAACATTCATCCAGAAGGTCACTGTGGCCCACGGTGGGACTTTCCTGTAAAAAAAGTAGTTGCTTTTCCGGGCCTGGAAGTGATTGTTTGGGTGGGTCTCAGGGGTGACCTTCCAGGTCTCACCTGGCCTCCTCTTGTGGGGGTGGGAGGTAGGTCTTTCCGGCTGGAATCCCAGGACCATTTCCTCAGCTCTTTCCCCAGCTTGTACTGGGGCTCTCGGTCTTGTGTGTGGAAGCAGGAGGGCAGGTGGGGGCGTTGGAAAGAGCAGGGGCTTGGCTGTTGGCAGACCAGGCTGCTGGGGGATCCCAGTGTGGCCACCTGCTGCATCTCAGTTCCTTGCCTGGCAGTGGGCTGGGCAGGGGCTGTCTCCAGGAAGGAACGAGGCTGCCAGTGTGAGTCTTGTGCCTGCATTGTACCTCATATTGGTTTGTCAGCTTTCCGGGCTTCTTCCTGGGGCGGTGGGGGGTGGGGGTGGTGGGGGGGTGACAGGCAGTTTGTGGGGCCCTTGAGTGTGAGGGGGTAGCTCGTTCTTTAAACGGGGGCTGAGATGTGATTTCAGATCCATGGCCCTGTGACACCGCGAGTGCTTGGGCCCTGGACAGGGTCTCCATCCTGCAGGCCTGTCCCGCAGTCGCCTCCCTTCCCCGTGGCTCCAATGTGACTGGCCACTGAAACCAGCCTACTCCTGCCTCCCAGCCAGAAGCTTAGCCGGGGAACCAGAGACAAAACACTGGGCTTCCTGTCAGCTCTGTGACCTGAGACAAGTCCCCTAACCTCCGGGATCTTCTCTTTCCCATCTGTAAAATGGTGAAAATAAAGCCTGTGCCATGGGTTCTTGTGATGGATAAGATGAGGCTTCTAAGATCTGGTTATCAGCAGTGCCACACCACTTGGGGGCTTTTTGATAAACGCACATTGTCAGACCCCACTCCATAAGTGCTGAGTCAGAACTGGGGGCTGGGGGCACCGTAACCTCTATTTAGTGAACCCTCCAGAGGATTCTGATGTGCTGGCATGAGAACCAGAATGGCCAGGTCAGGTGATTTTTAGCTGAAAGCTTTCTTCCCCTTCACCACAAGAGAAGCTGTAGACAACAGGGGTTTTACTTTGCAGCCAGAGAGTCCTGGGTTCGAATCCTAGCTCTAACCCTCCTTGATCTTGTATCTTTGGACAAGTTACTTTGCGATAGTTTCGTCTGCGAAGTGGGGACATCAGGGTTCCTTTCTTCTTGGGGTGGTTATTAGGATTGAACGAATGGAAGCAGGTAATCGCCTGCCCTGTGTAAGCTGGGATTTGTGGCAGCTGTTTGTATTCATATTCGTTGCTTTGCTGTTAGCACAGTAATAACACGATGGCTGTTGGTAGGGAGAGTGTGAAGGCAGACGTGAGTTGTCTTCTGCCAGTGCTCTTGAACTAAACCCTTGCTGGCCTGCCTGCCTTCAGGTCAGTGCCATCCCACTTCAGGCAGGGCAGACCAGCCTCTTCCCAAATACTTTCTCCTCCTTCCCTGCCCCTTAGCATTCTTTGGGGTGGGAAGGGCAGGTTTTTATTTACAGTCAAACAGACCTAAGAAATGGAGAACATACACGCAACACACTTGGCCTTCACTCTCCCTCTGGTGGTACATGATGCTGAACTTTTAAAAGATTTATTTTTATTTATTTATGCATACAAGAACTGGGGTGTAGGCCAGAGGTGTGTGTGGGGGGGGCAGTGATAGGATTCACCAGAGGCAGAGTGGTGAGCAGAGCAGACTGTTCCTCTTTCCCCCTTCAGTTTCAACCGAGGACTTGCCAAGGGCACACAGCTCTCTCCCTGCCGGTAAGGAAGTGGCTCTGTGGGCTTTGTACCCTGGGAATTCTCCACGGAAACACAGCTGAGGGGAGCAGCGGGTGAGACAGGAGAGGTCTGCTGCGCCGTGTGGGTAACTCCTTGGCTAGGGATTGAACTCATGCTGCAGTGGCTAGCAATAGCTTGGTAGTGCTGAGACTTTAACCCCTGCACTACCGGGGAGGCCTTGGACTCCTTCTTGAGCAGAGATTGGAAGAGCCCTGTGGGCGGGTGGGTGGGGTCAGGTTAAGGGGATGGGATGTAGGCGCTACATTGGGTGGGGGGATTGATTTGGGATGAATGGCTCCCAGAGGACCTGGGTCTGACCAGTAAGTGGGCCTTCATTGAACAAAGCATGCAGGCAGGAGGCCAAGTGTGCCCTGTTTCCTCCTGAGGCAGGGGAATTTTGTCCACGTGTAGCACAGGCTCAGGTTCAGAGACCATGAGGTAGAATCTCTTGTAATCTCTAGATCTTGGCAGGATTCCAGGCTGAAGCTCAAGTCTCCTTCCTTCTGTGGCACAATAGAACTAGAGTTTCCTGTTTGCCATGGACACTTCTTCCTGCCCCCATTTGAGGGGGTCGAAGTGTGGGGGGTTAGCACTCTGGACTTGGTTCAAAGTAGAGTCCCTCAGGGACTGAAGCGGCAGTCTTTAACACTGTAGTATGAAGCACCATGTCTGATGACCTTTTTCTCTAACCTAAGAACTACAACTTGCCCCCAGGGGGAAGGGCAGGGCTCAGAGAAGAGGTGGGGGCAGGCCCCAAAAGGGGAAGCTATAAGCTTCCAGCGAGCATTTCCTTTGCATCTGGGGCCCAGGGCTGGCTTCCTGGCTTCTGTAGGCGTGGTGCCCTGGTTTGCAGTTGCTCTTTCATGAGCTCTGCGCCTGTCTACACTCATCCTCTGAAGTGCCTGGATGCTCTACACTGCCCGCTTCCCCCTTTGAAATGTCAGTAATGGGGAGGGGGGAGCTAAACGTACAACTCAGTTTGGTTTTATAAAATTTGATTGCTTCCATTCTTTTTTTCCCCAAAGATTTATTTATTTATGCATACAAGAACTGGGGTACGGACCAGAGATGTGGGGTGTGTGTGTGTGTGTGTGTGTGTGTGTATGTGTGTGAGAGGATTTACCAGAGGCAGAGTGGGGAACAGAACAGGCAGACTGACTGAAATACACTGCTGAGGGGAGCTGCAGGCAAGACAGGAGAGGTCTGCTGCGCCATGTGGGTTGCCTTCTGGCTGGCCGGGGATCGAACTCATGCTTCAGAGGCTGCGGATTGCTTCATGGTGAAGTGCTTAACCCCTTGCACCACCAGGGAGGCCCCCTGATTACTTCCATTCTTAAAAGGCTGCTTTGAGATGCATTTGGTGCTGTCCTCAGCCTACAAAGCTCTATCCCTACCTGATTTCCTGGTGTTCCTCGACTCTAGTTATACACTGGCTCAACCTATGGAGACTTTAAAAAAGCTCATACCCGGGCCCCTCCCGGAGAGTCTGATGTGAACAGTCCAGGTTGTAGCCTGGACATTGGGAGTTTTAAACCACCCCTTCTGCGTCCCCGCACCCTATCTAATTCTGGGCTAATCAGCGCCCAGAATTAGAACTTCTGAGATGTGAATCTCAAGGCCAGCTGTTCCTCCTTCCCCCTTCAGTTTCAACCGAGGACTTGCCAAGGGCACACAGCTCTCTCCCTGCCGGTAAGGAAGTGGCTCTGTGGGCTTTGTGCCCTGGGAATTCTCCACGGAAAGTTCTGTCCCTGAGCCTGTCTCTTTCTCCTAGCAATGCTTTCCTAGAGACCGGGATGCCTGGTTCCTATAAATTGGCTTTAACCCTCCCACCGCACACTCTATCCTGTGAGCTGAGGCCTGGCTTCTGGTGTACAACCAGGAGGACATTTGGAAAACCAAAACGAAGAAACCACTAAAGCGGGTCATTGTCTCACCCTGGACTTTCCTGCTAGGAGCTGACCAGCTTTCTGTTCTGCATTTACTCTCCCACTGGCAACTTTCCAGTCGATCGATAAGGTAAGAGAACCCTAGTCTCTAGCCTGGAATTAAACTGTGTGGGGACTAGCTAGCATCTGGGGATGCTCTGAGACGCGACTGATGGTGTTGTGTGTCCTCCGGGCGCCCCGACAAAGCAGTGAGGGCCCTGGAGCTTGGAGGAATCAAGAGATGAGGAGAGGAGGTTCTGTGGTCTTTGGGAGAGCTTTGGATGCCTTTTCCCACTTTCTCAAACTTTCTGAGAATTGGGTATTTGTCTTCCTCACAGGAAGTTGAGCCTGTGAATTTCAAGGGCGTGGGTGGTGCCTCAATTATTCTTGAGGCTATCTGGTGTGGAAGGCTGGAAACACCTGTGTGGGGTCTGTGAAAAGGAAAGGAAGGAGCTTTTGTGCAACTGCTACAAAGTTTTCACTGGTCCTGGGCACTCTGTCCCCATCCCTGCAGCTTCACTTCATGGGTCCTGAGGGGGCAGCCATTTCCTCTCAACTCTGAGGGAGATTAGGAGAAGGTGACAGAGCTGCTTTAGGCCAACTTGGCGCGGGGGTAGTGGACGCTGCTGGCACCCACCCTTTGCCTATTGGGTGTTATAGGTGCTGACGGATATTAGCTGCCTGCTCGTCCTGAGAATTGCTCCTTCAGGGAGATGCCTGTGAACCCACCCCCTCCTCCCTGGGGTGGCCCTCAGCCAGCGACTGGCACTGGGTTACAGAGGCCTGGTCTGCCTGTCTCAAGATGGGAGCAACTCCTTGTAGTTATTCACACCTCAGAGCCCTCCTAAGATCAAACTATGGCTGGACTCCAGGTGAACTCCCATGGCTCGTGAGCAATTTCCTCTGGCCCTTCCTGCTTCCCTCACCCCGTGCAGACGTCTCCTGAAACACATCCTCAGCAAATCATCTGCACAACAATCCTCTTTGGGGCTCCACTTCTAGGAGTCCCCTAATCTAAGAGAGCAAACTAGCTTTCTTGGGCCTGGCTGTTGAACCTACTCTCTCCTTTGACGAAATAATAATGATAATGGGAATATTTGCCGGACAGCTCCATAGGCTGGGAGCTGCGGGTTCAGAGAGACTCCAGATGCAGGGAAGGAATGAAGCAGCAGACAGGTGGTTTCTGTGTAGTGTAAATGTTGTGAAGAAGGACTGGCTGAGGTGTGAGTACCCATCCTCCCAACACTGCCCAAGGGGCAGTTAACCTTGGAGTTAAGTTTTGCATCAGGGTTCAGGGAACATGTGCATTTGCTTGCATTTGAGAAGGAGCATGAAAAGCAAGCCTTGAAGGTGCTCTGTGGCTGTGAGGTCGTCAAGTTCAATGTTTTAGGACCTTCCCTTTGTAAAGATACTCTTGGCTCTTAGGGAATTCTGTGTCCTAAGTTGTCTTTGAAGCAGGCGGGAAGTAATGGATGGGTCTCCACAGGACACACGAGGCTCTCCTGAGGAGCTGGATGGCCTGGCCCAGTCATTTAAGGGCCTTGAGGAGAACCCAGAACATTCTGCCAGGGCCTGAAGTCATCACAGAAGGGAGGTTTGGCTGGTTGGTGGCCCCAAAGGGTCTGTAACACGATGAGGGCCTGGGTGGCTCAAATTCCAATTGGACAAATTCTACTTGTCTACAGATGTTTTAGCAGATGTACCTTGTAGATAGTTGGTAGGCCTTCAGTGGATTTTATCTCAAGTTTTTATAAAGAGAAGCTGTACTGATTTAGAACTCTTGAGGAGTAAATAACCACGTTGATAGAAGGAGATCAGTAGGTTTAGATATGTTTTAGATTTCCAAAGAGCAGCTCTACATTAAAAGTCATTCCTGTCAAATCTGCCCTTTTCTTCTCGTCCCCTGTCCTCCTGTCTGTGTGGTGAGCTGTGAGCTGTTTCCGTTCCATGCTCAAGGAGCTGGCAGATGGGAATCCCCTCCTTTCACTCCCGGGCCTGCTTTTCTCCTCTTCAAAATGAGGGTGCCCGTCAGCTGTGTATTTTCAGGGCATCGTGAGATCCATGCTTGCACATGATTCTTCCAAGACATTTTGGAGTCCGGAAGGACTCCATCTAGCCTCCCCCCCCCCAACCCCCACTTTTAGTTTTTTATTTCATAAATTTCTGATATTAACAGAGAAGGCAGAGTAGCAATCAGACTCGCCCAGGCTGCGGACACTGCCGGCGCCCTCAGAGGAAGTGTCCAATAGAATCCACATTCCAGGTCCACTGCCATCTTCCTCTAACCCTTCCTTGTGTGAGGAACAATGTTCTGCTGAAGGAATACAGGCTGGCCTCTACATTTCCTGCCCTTTGTTAGTGCTGCTGCTATGTTTGCCTTAAAGTATATGTAATTTCAGCTGACGCCCAGCCCCTGCCCCACGCTGGCTGCAGGTGGGCAGTGATTCGCGGTGAAGGTTGGGAAGTTTATGAAGAGAGATGCAGATGTTGTCCTTGAGACAGACTAGGGAAGGGCTGTGTGAGTCTGTTACCTGTAATTTCAACTCAGCAACATGGTAGGGTGTGTATTTTCCTCATCCTCCTTCTCCAAGAAATATAAGGTGGAGAAAAGTTCAGGCTGGAGGCAAAGATCAGGCCACCTTCAGACCTGTTGATTTATATCAATCTGGTAAGTAAAAGAGCAGTGATGAGGGAGGTTAAGTATCTTTTCACAGGTTTATTAACTATTTGTATCTTTTGTATGCATGTGTAAAGTAGATGTTTATCTTCTCTGCCCAATTTTCTATTGGATATAGAATCTTTCTCATTGATTTATTAAGGCCTTTACATATTAAGGATATTAGCCTATTGTCATATGTATTATTAATATTTTTCTATTTTGTCTTTAACTTTTTGCTTTTGAATTGGGTAGGATTTTTTTTCTAAACAGAAGTTAAAGTTTTTGTTTGGTAACAATTAACTTTTTTAAAGTAGCTTCTGGATTTTGGGTATTATATGGAAAAGTTTTTCCTACTTCAAGTTTACATGTGTATTTTCTACATTTCCTTCCAACATCTTAATGTTTAACTTTTTGGATTGATCTCTGATTTCTTTTGGTGAAATAAGGCAGGGATTTTGCCCCCCACCTTCGCCTTTCCTAAAGGCCACCCAATTCTCCAGCCACATTGAAGAAAAATAATCTATTATCCCTTGCTATTTAGAAATGCAGCCCACATTCTATGTTCCCAAATTATATGGGTCTATTTCAGTTAGTTATATTGTTTTATTGATCTTTCTATTTTTTCTTCTCAAGTACCACATAGTCATAAAAGCTGTAAAAAAGGTTTAAACTCTCTACTGGTATTGCCAGTAGTTTTTTGTTTTCAAATCTATTAATTTATATATATATATTTTACATCATTGTTCTTTTTTTTTTTTAAGATTTATTTATTTATTTATACAAGCACTGGGTACAGTCAGAAGCGCGGGAGGGTGAGAGAATTCACCAGAGCCAGAGGGGAGAGCAGAGCAGGCAGACTGACGAAATACATCGCTGTGGGGAGCAGCGGGCGGCAGGAGAGGTCTGCATGCCATGTGGGCCCCTCGCCCAGTGGCCGGGGATCAAACCGGCGCTGCAGAGGCTGCGGGCAGCTTTGCAACTCAGTGCTCAACCGCTGCGCCACCATGGAGGCCCCATTGTTCATTTTTGTACAATGTTTGCTTTCTCCTCTCAGGTGTAGTCCCATAAAATCCCCACCACCAATTCATCCCTGCACCATCACCACAGTCCCTTGTGCCCTTCCCTCCCCAGTTTGGACCCCTCTCCCTCCTCCTCCCTGCAGAATGTCTCTGAGTGCTTTTAAGAGGACATGCTCTCAAAAAGGAATTGTCTTAAGAGCGGGGACAATTGCTTTCAGATGTGAAACAAAATTCCTAAATTATAGGTTATGATGGAGGCAGTGAACAAGAGAGCACCCTGCAGAAAACCCAGTGAGCTGAAAGATTCAGTGGAGAGTTCTGAGGAAAATAAAGAAATAGAGATTATGTAAACATGATATGAGACTTGGAAGAGAGTTGCAGGAATGGAGGGATGCTTGGCTGGACAGTGCCTCACAGAGGGGACAGACACTGCTGGAGAACCAACGGTGGAAGGAAGAGAAGCACTCATCAAAGAAAGAATAGAATAATATTTCCTGATTGGAGAAAGACTCAGATGTTCAGGGTGACAAGGTCCATTGATGGCCAGGCACCACGAGTCCAATTTCTGCTACACTGAGGCTGTGGAATTGGCTGTGGTCAAGGTGCTTCAGGACTTGATGTGATGAGCCAGAACCTACTCTGGATGTCCCTTCCTTGTGCTCCCATCACCAGCCACTGGCTCTGCTGACCATGGCTGCCTCCACAGGCACCATGTGCTCTTGGCTGTCTGCATCCCAGGGCCTCCCTGTTTTCCTCACCCCTCTCTGATCTGTGGGGCACGCTGGAGTCCAGCCCATGGTCCAGCCCCTCAGCCTGCTCTGCTCTCTCCTTGGTGACCTCACCTCCTCAGCTGCCCTGCTGCCCTCAGTCTGAGTCAGGATCCCCTCTGTCCCTGTCACTGAATCGCCACTCGTAAGTGCAAAAGTTGGCACAATTAGGTGGAAATAAATGTTTGCTGCAGTATAGATCTGTACATACATTGAAGGGCGATCCTTTTTTTTTAAAAAAAAAAGTTTGCTCACTAGTTATGAGTAATCACTACTTAAAAAACTTTCTCACTTGCCTGATTTTCTTTCTTCCTTTTTTGGTAGTACACATGTACTCCAATTTTAATCACTTGTTTCCTTTTTGGAAAAGTAGAGAAAAATGAAAATTGAGAGAGATCAACTGTGTTCTAAGGATACCTCTTTTAGGTACACACAGTATGAAGTTTATGAATGAACTCAACCCTCCACTTTTTCCCCTCAACATATGGTTTCCTTGGAGGACCTTTGTGCTTGTTTCCCGTGGTTGCCATGACAAATGATCAAAACTCAGTGACTTTAAAAAACATCAATTTATTAGCTGGAAGTTCTGTAGGTCAGAGGTCTGACACAGGCCTCACTGGGCTAAAATCAAGGTATCACGGGACCTGGGGGAGGATCTGTCTCTTTTTTGTAGCTTCTAGAGCCACCCACGTTCCTTGGCTTGTGCCCCTGCCTCCAGTTTCAAAGCCAGCAATGGGGTTGAGTCCTCTCCCATCATATCACTGGAACCCTGACTTTTCTGCCTCCATTTTCCATTTCTTTAAAACCTGTGGCATAATACATAAAAATGGCCATCTTTACCTTCTTCAGTGTACAGCTCAGTGGCCTCAAGCACATGCACTGTTGTGTCCCTGTCTTCACTCTCCAGTCATAGACCTCTTTTAATCTTGCAGAAGTGAAACTCTGTACCCATAAATAATACTTCCCTCTGCCCCCGCCCCCCTCTGGCAACCACCACCCTACTTCTGTCTCTGAGTCTGAGCAACCTAACTACTTGCTATCAGTGGAATGATCAGTCTGTCCTTTCGTGACTGCTTAGCACAATGTCCTCGTGGTTGGTCCAAGTTGTTGCATATATTAGAATTTCCTTTCTTTTTAAAGTCGGTCATATTGCATTGCAGGGTTGTTAATCCATTCATCCTTTGATGGACGCTCAATTGGCTTCCATCTTCTGGCTCTTTTGGTTAATGCTGCTATGAATGGAGGGGTACGGCTGTTTCTTCAAGTCCCTGCTTTCAAAAAAAATTTTTTTAAGACCCTACTTTCAGTTCTTTGGGGTATGGACCCAGAAGTGGAACTGCTGGACCCTGTGGTAATTCTATCCTTATATTTTGGAGGAGGCCCGATCTAGGGTCCACAGTGGCTGTACTCTTTATTCCCACCAGCAGCGCACAGGGGTTCCTGTTTCTCTACCTTGTCACCAACGCTGCCGTTTTCTCTGTGTGATGGTCACCATGCTGATGGGTGTGAGAAGCTAGCGCATGTGGCTCTGATTTTCATTTCCTGATTAATTAGGGATGTTGAGCATTTCATGTGCTGTATCGTCTTCAGAGAAATTTCGTTCAAGTTCTTTGCCCATATTTCCCTCCCTCCCTTGTTCCCTCCCTCCTTCCTTCCCTCTTTTTTTTTTCTTACCTCCTTCTTTCCTCTTTCTCTTTCTCTTTTAATTGAGGTACCATTGGTTTACACTGTGTGATTCAGGGGCCGAGGATCATGCCTCCTCAATGCGTGTAACCACAAGGCACCACAAGGCACCCACAGTTCTTTACCATGGTCCATTGAACCCCCTCCCTGCTTTGTTGTCCCACTTCCCACTCCCCATCATGTAGCCTCAATTCCACAGTCATTTCTGGGGTTTGTTACTGGTTTGGTTCTTGCTGACCCTTTGCTTTGTCTCTATTCCACATATAAGTGAAACCATCCAGGATTGGCCTTTTTCTTATGTTCACTGTCCATTTTTCTATGGGGTGATTTGCTTTGTTGTCATCGGGTTGTAGGAGTTCTTTACATATTTTGAATATTAACCTCTTATATTTGTTTGCAAATATTTTCTCCTGTACCCTGGTTTGCCTTTTCACTCTTTGATCTGCTTTGAAGAACATTGTGATGACATTAACCCTGCTCACATACTCAAGACTTTCTCCCTGCCTTTGGCGCATTGTTCTGCTTGCCAACGGCCTCATCTTCCTGCTCTCGCTTCTGTTAGGACTCATTTTGTAACCAGAAGTCCGGAGCTCAGGCCAACTGTCACCACCAAATGCCAATAAAGTAGAGATAGAAATTGAATCGTTAAGGTATGCTTTAATCAGACAGCTGGCAATCTGTCAGGTTAACACCCTAAAGAAACCACATTAATATTTTCATTTCCAGGGCCTCCCTGGTGGTGCAAGGGGTTAAGCACCACATTATGAGGCAATCCGCAGCCTCTGCAGCATGAGTTCGATCCCAGGCCGGTCAGGGAGCAACACACATGGCGCAGCAGACCTCTCATGTCTTGCCCGCTGCTCCCCTCAGCAGCGTATTTCAGTCAGTCTGCTTGTTCTGTTCCCCACTCTGTCTCTGGTGAATCTTCTCATCCCCCACACCTCTGGCCTGTACCCCAACTCTTGTATGCATAAATAAATAAATCTTTAAAAAAATTTCATTTCCAGCTGGCTTTTTATAGGGAGTTGAACAAAGACAGTTGTTGGGCACTAAGAAGGCCTTCACCGCTGCCAAGAGCTGGTGATGTGTGGCCCCCAGAGCTCCTTATTGTCCTCCACACCTGGACCAGTGTGCTGAGTCTGGCGTGATAGCACTGGACCCCTGCACTCATCCAGATGTGTCCTTGGGCTGGAAAATGAGATCAGAGTTATAACAATGTGTGTACGTGTGTGTGGATTTCTTGCTATACCATGCATAGTGTCTACCTGATACCCCCACTTCCTAACCCCGATCAGTTTCTTCACTTCCTTCATCAGTGGCTGAGAGGAAGTGTGCGGGTATCGTTCTACTGAGCTCACAGGTTCTTGGACTCCCCCGTGCTGATTTGCACCATCTCCTGTGATCTTAGGTTTTCTCCAGACTTGGGAGACTAAGAGGTCAGCATCTGCCCTGTGACCACCCCAAGCCCCTGGTAGAGACAGAAAAGGACTTCTGCTTGGCCTGCTCACTGTTCCCTTTCTCCAGACACCCCTCCTCATGCCTCTGCTCTCTCTGCATGACTGTCTTCCTGACTAACCCCTCTTGCTCCAATTATGCAACTTCTTTTGTTGTATAATTGTCAAAAACCCAGAAAAGGGCGGTGAATTTAAAGGGAAAGATTTTAAAAACCATTGGAACTATAAACAAATGTTGAAGTCAGTGATAAGGATTTTGAAGGATAGGGGGAAATCACTGATATTTGTCACTGGCTTTTTTTTTTTTTTAACAAGAACTATATATTTTTCCAGCTTTATTGATATAATATTGTGTGTGTTTAAGGTGTACAATGTGATGATTTGACACACACGTTACAAAATATTTACCAAGCTAAGGTTAGTTAACACCTCTATCACTTCGCCTATGTCATTGTGCTGCACATTAGGTCCTCTGAACTTAGACATCTTCTAACCTGAAGTTTGTGCTCTTTGAGCAACTTTTCTCCATTTTCCCCTACTTCCCAGCCCCTGGTAACCAATATTCTGCTCTGATTGTATGCATTTGGCTTTCTTAGTTTCCACATATAAATGAAATCATATCATACTTGTTTTTGTCTTAGCATTATACCCTTAAAATCCATATGTGTTGTTGCAAATGGCAGGCTTTCCCCCTTCTTGTGGCTGAATAATATTCCACTGTATGTATTTATTCACATGTCCCCCCTTTTGATATCTTCTTTGATGCATTGGTTGTTCAGGAGTGTGTTACTTTCCACATATTTTTTAATTTTCATGTTAACTTTCTGCTGTTGATTTTAAGTTTTATAGTAAAAATCAGAAAATATACTTGGTATGATTTTAGTCTTCTCAAATTTGCTAAGACTTCTTTATGTATAATTTACTTTGAAATGTATCAACAAGAAGAAAGATTGTCAAATGGGTAAAGGGATGTTTACATGGACAGTTGTGTGATGAAGGATATTAAAATGAAAGAGTAGAATAGCCTTAGGTACATGGCTACTCATCACCGTATTTCTTCAGTTTTACATGTGGAAGTTTCTCATAATGAAATGTCTGAAAAAATTGCTGATAGTGTCATTACCCAGAGAGAGCCAGCCTGTCATTTATTTATGTATGTCTTTACATATAGCAGGGGTGTCAACTGGAAGCAATTTAGCCCCCATGGAACACTTGGTAATATCTGGGGACATTTTTGATTGTCGTGAAGGGTCAGTGCTGCTGGCAGCTAGAGGGTGTACTGTGTGTGACTAGGGGTGCAGCACACCTTCCAGGGCACAGGACAGCCCCACAACAAGAGTGACCCAGCCCCAGAAGTCAGTGGTGCCACAACTGAGAAACCCTGATACATGTATCTTAATGTATATCCATATAAATATGCAGATATGCATATTTTACACTCACATATATTTTAAGCAAAATCAGACTCATAGTTTTATAACCTGCATTTTCATAATAAATTGTCATTTCCCCAGATAATTAAAGGTCTTTTCCATTTTCATGTTTGAATGGCAACCCTAGACACATGCGCAGGGAGGCATTGCCTGCACCTCTGTTTGGGCGTTTTGTGTTGGTTCACCAACTGCAGTCGTCGAGTCTGAGCCTTCCCCGTCAGTCTCTGTTGTGTGTCATGATGGTTCCTCCGGGAGCCCTCACGGATCATCCGGGAGATCTTCGGTGCCCGCTTTTTCTCTGGCAGGACATTTGTTCTGGGGCTGCCCAAGGCGGGTTCGTCCTCCCGCCTTGGGTTCTTTCTCAGAGGTGGTGGAAACAGGCAGCCGTGAGACATCTCACTTGCCCTGAGTCAGCATTTGGCTGTGCAAGCTGTGGATGTGGAGCAAAGACAGAGAGCCATGTCCTCCAGTTCTCTGCCCCTTCCTAGCCTAAGTTCTATGAGTCCCTAAGGACACAATCTGACTTTAACCTCTCTCTTCTCCTCTCCAATATAGGCCTCTTCTTCTAATGAAAAGAGCAAGGAAGAATGGACTACAGTCACCAAACTTCCCTAGTCCCATGTGGACAAGATAAGTACATTTCCAAGTAAGAGTGCTGCTGTACTGCTCTGTCCCCAGTCCCCTGTGCACGAGGGAGCGGGGACTCGTGTGTGAGAGTTAAGCAGCTGAGTGTGCTGGCGAGAGCATTAACTAGATTGCTGCTGTGGATAAAAACATGCCCCCAGAGCCTAGCCACAGAGTGTGAGGGACAGGGGCTTCAAGACACAGCACCTCTGGAGACTTGAAAGAGATGGCATCCTGGAGGACTTCCTTGAGGAGGCATTGATGGTGGCTGCTCAGAGTCCTCTTCTGTCAGGAGTCCACAGAGTCGTGTCCCTGTGCTGCTGGGGTCCTGCCTAACATAGTCACCAGTGTCTGTGAGCAGAAGGGGCGTGTTTCATTGCTTTACACGTGCTAAAATCTCTCCAAGTCACATTTTTGGCTTATGTGACAGGGGTTGAGTTAATTAGAACATTGACTTTTCTAAATTTTAAGTTTGAGGACATACTGTTTTACCCTGCACAGGGATTTTTCTGTAGTGGATGCCTGCTAATTTAATTAAATGTTTAATTTATTTGCAACTAGGTTGCTGAAAGTCCTTTGGACACACTTGGTCACACACATACTCACCCACACATATGCAGAGTTATGTGAGATCATTCTGATCTCCTCATTGAAGGGTTTCCCCAGGGACTTCTAGAGGCAGTCATTTTCAACCTCAGTGCTGGATCTCTGTTCAAAAGTACCAAACAACTTCTCTTGTAGGTTATTTGGAATCACATGTTTCACTGATTCATTTGCGCTTGCATAGAATTTTTCCCTTTATCTAGGTTTAACTTGTCAAGAGCTCCTTGGAATTTCCAGCCCATCTTGACCTCTAGTATGATTCCACATCTCTTCACTGAGTGGCTGGTTTGAGAGATCAAATGCCCTTGTCTCTTGCCGGAGACTAGTCAGATGCACACACAGCCTCCTCAAGCCCCTCGCTCTCCCAGCCCTCATGGGGTACAATACCGTGCACTTGAGTATTGTCAGGTTTGACGAGGGCCCACGCAGGTGTGAATCCTCCCTCTCCTTTGGTCTGTGGAGCTGCTTGTAGGGGCCCCCTGGAAATCAATAATTAGATCAAAGGAGGCCAGACACCATGCCAGAGAGGTGGTTTGGAAGTTTTTCTTCTTAGTTTTCATAAATTTAAATAAAGGCACTGGAATAAAAAATTGCAGGGCCCAGAAGCCCCCTCTTGCCTATGGAGTCACTGTGCCCCAAGGTGAACCACTATCCTGAATGCTGACACTCATTTTGAACTTTATATAAATGGAATCATACAACCTGGGCTTTTTTGGGTCTGACTTTTTCACCCAACATAATGTCTAGGAGGTTCATCCATCTTGTATGGAGTTTTCTCATAGTGCCATGGCTATAGAACTTGGCATTGTGTGACTATAACCACCCTTATTCCTCCATTCCACTGCTGATAAAGGTTTCTAAACAAAAGCTCATGTCAAAGTATACATTGGTAGAGCCTAGATCTGCCCCTTTTAACCTTCTGAAAAGCCTAGTGATTTCTGGGTCTCACAAAGGTCTGTTGTGTAGGCCCTCTCCTAGCTCACAGCCTGTGTGAGGGCGGAAAGTCTGTGGGGAGGTGGGAGAACTGTGCCTGTGGGCTCTGAAGTGTGTTTGCCTCTATGACTGTGACTAGTCAAGGCCTGCTGACTCAGCTCGGGTTTGGGGGTGTTGTTGGAATTGCTGCCTACAAGGGTCGACCAGACCTGCCTTGGTTTTCTCGAACTGCTCCTTGCATTCAGTCAGGGGAGGTGCTTATTCTTGATCTTGATACAGAGAAGCTGATGATGAGGGATAGTGAGAGAACATTGCATGTGTGTGTGTGTGTGTGGGGGGCAATCTCCAAGTCTGGGGTCACTGAAGGCCAGGTTAGAGGTGAGAAAAAGAGGGAAAACTGCATTACAAGTGACTTGAGCTGAGAATGTTACAGTTCTTGTATTCTTCCCCACCCCCAACTCCCCAAGGAATGAACTTCTTCTGCACCTGAAGACCTACAACTTGTACTATGAAGGTCAGAATTTGCAGCTTCGACACCGTGAGGTAAGCAATCCCCAGGGAAGCCCTGGTGGGCCTGCCTAGTCTTTGTCTTCCTATGTCCTGGGTCCGGAGGCCCCAAGGTCCTAGGAGGTCCCTGCCTTTCCTGCTACAGTGAGTGGTTTCTCATTAAGGGTGTTAGTGGGTGTCCCTGGAGTTCTTTGAAGGGAGACCCCAGGCCCATTTTTCCCTTGGAAACAATGGGCTTTTCTTTTCTAGAGATACGTGGTGGATATGTGGCTGGACTAGTAGTCTCCAGGAGGGGGTACTTCAAAGGGAGGCTTTTATGGAATGACCCCTTCAGTGACACTCAAGTGGACAATTCAGAAATCTTACCTAGTGCTTGATGTTTACACATCTGGGCCTGTGTCCAATTGTAGCAACTCCGGAAAGTCACATAAGCTCTGCGTGATACTACCTGGTCCTTCTCTGCAACTGCAGCAGCCTTCCTGGGTGCCTTCTTGCAAAGACCTTTGTTATCCATCTGCCTCTCCCCAGCCCCCATCCTGAATCTAAGCTTACTCATCCTGTATCCATTTCTGTAACGCCTGTTATCAGGTAGATGGTGAATTATATAGGAGCCTGGTGGAGTAATTTATACTCAAGTGTTCTTGACTGATAAGAAGGCATGTGTAATGCCCTTCTAAAGACACATTTTTAGGTTATCGAGCCTTGGTGATTTAATCCGTAGAAATGGATAGCAGATGGTGGAATTTCAGCTACTAAGGCAGGTTGGTTGGGGATAATGTGTGGGATGCAGTGGCATTTTTTTGTGTCCCTCAAACCACTCCACTTAGACAAAGTCTGACTTTGGGTTAAATTCTGTCCTGTGATCATGTGATGTAAAATATGATGCTAGAAGGCCACAGCTATTGTCTGTACTTAAATATAGCTTTTCTCCCCAAGATCCCCCAGATTCCCCAAATTGCTTCACTCCTCTCCTGCCTTCTTTCATTTCTCTTTCCCTTTTGAAGGGTGAGCCTGGAACCCAGGTTAGTTGTTCAGTGGACAGGTGTCATCATCATCCAGAGGCTTGTCCTGAAGATGTGACCTTGGCTCATAAAACTTGGGTTCAGAAAGGTTTTCCTGTGACTGAGGAAAGGAATCTCTTTTACACGTTGTCCTCAGAGCTTCCACCAACCAGTGGCTGGGCCATTAGCAAGATGGTCTCTAAACAGCTTTTCTGGGGTGTGTCCTGTAGAATAAATACTCAAAATGCTTGATGATGCCCTCTAAGCATTTTCACATTTCACTTCTCGGTCAACAACCCTTGGATATAAATTTGGAGTTCTTGCAGGATTTATCCACCCCTTATTGTAGCACATTATCTTGTTATACACTCTGGGAAGTTCTGCTGTTAAGAAATCTGAATAACACATCTCCCAACCTGTGATCCCTTGGCACCCTTTTAAAGGTCTAACAGTTGATCTGCTAGAGAACAAATTGGGGGATGAGGCTTTAAATCTCCTTCAATCAGATCACATTGCTAAACACATGTTTTAACTAAAGACGCATTCCTTTCCATAGTGAGGGAGGGGAAAGCTATTTCAAGAATTTAGTTCTTGCCTCTGTTAGCAAGTCTAGTGTCACTTACTTTAAGAGATGGATTCTTCTTTCTTTAAAGTCATTAGTTTAAAAAACAATTTTTATAATTTCACATTTGCATTTAATTTGAATTTCCAGTCACCTTTTGTGCTGGCCCGTGCGGTCAGCTCCAGGGTCTCAGTGCTGGAGTGTGGCCCGGGTGGCTGCCCCGGCTCTGTGGGTGGGTGTGCCCAGCCAGGCCACATTGAGGATGCTGTCAGTTGTCACTCCATGGGGCTGGCTTCTTGGGGCCCTTCCGGACTCACTGCCACGTTGCTCTGTGCGCAGGAAGAGGACGAGCTCATTGTGGAGGGGCTGCTGAATATCTCCTGGGGGCTGCGCCGGCCCATTCGTCTGCAGATGCAGGATGACAACGAGCGCATCCGCCCCCCACCATCCTCCTCCTCCTGGCACTCCGGCTGCAACCTGGGGGCTCAAGGGTAAGTGAGAAGACATGGAACTTGGGGCAACTGGGGGTTCTCAAGCAGGTAAATGTCACCTGCTACCTTGATCCTGGTCCCACTTCCTACCACCTCCGCTGCTTGCTGCTCCACTCTCACATGAGAAGGGGCAGATGCAGGTATGACCCAGTCTCCGTGCCCGTCACTGAGTAACAGTCAGAGGGAGGAGGGAGATGGAGTCAGAGAGGAGAAGCAAAACCTGGGTGGGCCATTGCCCTCCTTCATGGAGAATTCCCGAGTCTCTGGGAAGCGGGTATTGCTAGTGGCCACCCAGGCCCAGCTGCAGCTTTCTGACCCAATCCCCCAGCAACTCCTCTTCCACAGCCTCCCCCATGCCCTCTTCCTCATAGAATGACCCCGCTCTGGAGGCAATTAGAGCCCAAACCTCACCAAAGCTCTCTGTGTCTTGGGAGAATCAAGAAGAGGAAAAAGAATGTCAGGTGCAAGCTAGCCAAGCGAGGTCAGCCAGGGGACTGCTCCCTCAGGCCACACTGGAGCCAGGGGCAGCCCGAAGGCCATTCTGGAAGGTGCCTTTCTCTGGGACCCCAGTGGCAGGTCTGCGAGGGCCCCGTCTGTTCCTCTCCTGTTTGGTGGCCAGATTAGTGGCTGAATGTGTCCTGGACAGCACACCCTTGCCACCATCCCTCTGGGACTCCAGTTTTTAGGATCAAGTGACTAGCCTAGTTCCATCCTGAAACTTGCTGATGCCAACGGCCTTTGGGCCACAGCCTGGGTGGGGCGTGCTGACGACTCAGCCAAAACCACAGGGATTTTTTTCTGTTTTAAATGAGGACCAAGCCCTGTCAGCCACTTTGAACATTGTTTGAAACACCCCACAGCCCAATCTCTCTCTGAACTTGAGAGGAACCTGCAGTGTGGCCAAGCCCTGGAGCTGATCAGGTTTCTTTCCAAGTGAATTTAGAGTAGTCTTAGCCCATCTCATTGGATTTCACCTAACCTCATGGGCTTCCCACTCTGCTTTGCTGTCTGCACTTAGACAGGACCTCCAATGGGTATAAACCTTTCCACCAGCCGGCCTCGTCCCCAGCCTGTTACATTCTACTTATTAAGTGAGATGATTTTAAAAATTCCATTTGATCATCTGGCCCTTGGCTGGGCTGGCAAAGGGCTTTTCACAATGCAGGCTGGTTTCCTCTCCCCTGTGGCATCAAGGTGGTCTTGGTTGGTTCTTGAAATCTGCAAATGCTTTGAGAGTTTTCAGGGATGGTAAATAATTATCTCCCAGCTGCCTGGACTGCTCTGTTAAGAAGGGCAGTGGCTACTGTAGGTGCTGAGTGTACTAGTCCCGAGAGACTCCGATCAGTCCTATTCTGGGACTCCGAAGTCCGCATCATACTACACTAGAAGGTTTTTTTGGCTTTTTCAGTTTTGTCTTTTCTTAAAACTCTGATCCCCCAAATTGAGTCCTGTCTCTCCAGTGCACCCCAGGGAACCCACACTCTCTCAGCATGGGTTCAACCAAGAATTTGTTAATCGTGATTCTCCTCTCTAGCCCAATCCTCTGTTGATTTGGGGTGTGCTTTGAGGAGTTATTTGCCAGTTATCACAGCAAAACCACATCTTAGCTCACACTCCTGTGGCCCTTCTCTGGCTTGGCCGAGCCCTCTGTCCTGCAACCCTGTCAGCCCAGAACACTGTGGTCAGCACCATTTCCAAAGCTACCCTGACTCTCGTAGCCGCCAGTCTAGTACTTTCCATTCCCTTTAGATGCCAGAAATAATTTCTGAGTTACTCTTCCCACAGAAATGGACTGAAGCTGGAGTCTTGTCCTGAGAAATAGTCACTGTTAGTGGTTCCCCAATAAGTTGCAGAGCCCCTATGTACTTCAGGTAATACATGGGCGCTTTCCATCCTGGGCTTAGTGAGTTGGATGCTTGTGTTCTGCAGATGCTGGAAATGCGCATCTCCTCCCTCTTGAACCCCACCCTTCTTCCCACTAGGTGCTCAGCCCAGGAGGTGGCACGACACTCAGCACAGCCGCCCACAGCCTTCATGCCGATGGGTGCTTGTCCCTGGCTCGCTTGTTCCCCTCCTTGCAGGAATGAGGGTGGGGGCCCTTGTCCTAGGGATTGAACCACTCCCTCTTTTGCTGGTTTTTTGTCCCCACAGCACGATCTTGAAGCCCCTCACCATGCCCAACATTCAGATCTCAGAGGTGGACGCCCCACCTGAGGGTGAGGAGACATCGAGCCCCACAGGTAAGGGCACGATGGGAGACTCCAGCCTGGGGTCGGTTGTGCAAAGAAAGATGTGAAAGATGCTCTACTGTGATACTTGTTTTCTGAATAGATAATATTCATGTAGTTCAAGCATCAAGAACAGTAAAAAGGAAGAATGACATGTTTCCCATCTTATCCACCCCACTATGTTGTTTCCCTTCCTAGAAATAGCCCGAGGCATCCTTTCCAAGATATTCTCTACAAATACAAGCAAATACGCACCAGTTTGCTTTGGGGGTTGGATGCAGTTTCTTTTCTTTCCTTTTTAATAGAAGTGCTAACATTTTGCTTATCACCATTTATCAGTTTATCTGGGGGATTGTTACAAACAAACGCTTAAAACACTTCTGCATCTTGATGGCGCTGCTCTATTCCATAGGATGGAGAACAGTCATAAATCACTCTCTATTGATAGACATTTCAATCATGTCTAGCCTTTTGCTATGACAAACAAGACTGCAGTCAGTGACCATGTCGATGTGTCATTTCACACATTTGTTTGTCGGAATCTGTGGGATTCTTCTGGGTGGAATTGGTGGGTCTGAGTTGATGTGCATTTGCACTTTGGATTTTGTCAGTTTGCACCCTTGCAAGTCCTTATATCACACTTACCCTATGCCAGGCAGTGCTTTGTGAAGGAACTCAGTTTATACCCTCACAACAACACTAAGAGGTAGGAAATTATTCTCCCCATTTTATAGATTGAAGAAACTGAGGCTCAGAGGGGTCAGTGATATATGGCAGCGGTAGATCTGGGATTTGAACATGGGATCTGGCTGTGAATCACTTCGTTGTATTGCTTCTCAGTAAATTATGATTATGTCTCCCCCGAATCAGGAAATTCTGTCTTGATAAAATATTTGGGAAGGCAGTGGTGCTGTAGCACTGGCCACAAAGAGGCTGTGGAGGGGGCATTGCCTATCCCAGTCCTGGCAGACAGTCATTTCCCTCTTCCCTCTCAGATTCCAGGGGCCTGAAGCCTTTGCAGGAGGATACCCCACAGCTGATGCGCACACGTAGCGATGTTGGGGTACGTCGTCGAGGCAATGTGAGGACACCCAGTGACCAGCGGCGAATCAGACGCCACCGCTTCTCCATCAATGGCCATTTCTACAATCACAAGGTGCAGAAGCAGGGGTGGGGGCATTCCCAAGGGGGACACGGCCCCGTCCTGGGTAGCTACCACCTGAGGGCAATAGGCACCTGGGCGACTGTTTGCTGCTCAGTATTTGGATCATGGGTGCACTGAAGGCTCTGTTAGCTCCATGAAAGATAAGGGACCCCAGATCAGGAGCTCCCTAGGCTGGTGGGTGAGATGACTCTACACATACCCCTCATCAGAGTTACCCTCTTCCTACACCATGTGCCTCCTGCTGCCATCCCGCTATGTGCTGTCAAATGACTGGAAACCACATGAATGTCTATCATTAGGGGTAACAGAGCTGTGGGCTTCAGATCAGGAGCAGTGGAGGAACACTTTGCAACCTCCCCAGCACCCCAGTTTGCTGACCCTCCTTCCCTCCTGACACCTGTTTTCAATCCAGCCCCTGAGACAAGTGCATCATGGGAGAGTAGTCAGAGACCTCCTCTGGTTGAAGTTATGATGGAAGGGCTCTGTGTGTGCAGTATTTGGAGAAAGAGCCTCCCTTACCTGCTCCTATTCCCCCTCCCAAGCTGGTTGCATGGCGATCTTGGTCCTTTCCAGCTTCGCATGGCGGGGTGTGAACTCCTGAGTCAGGCAGAGCTTGAGGGTTGCTCCATTGACAGGCAAGCCTGATGCCTGCCAGGCTGCCAGGGGAGAGCAGGAGCACTGTCCCGTCCCTGTCCTGGCTCCCCCCCCGAGCTGGACCTCTCTATTGACAGACATCCGTGTTCACACCGGCCTACGGCTCCATCACCAATGTCCGGATCAACAGCACCATGACCACCCCGCAGGTCCTGAAGCTGCTGCTCAACAAATTTAAGGCAAGTGCCCTCTGCTGGCGGCCTCAGATAGGTGGTGTGTGCGCCTTGGAGGCCTCTGGAAATACAGAGGTGGGGGCTGTGGAGAGGGATGAGGCAGTGGTCAGAGGGTTTGGGTTCCTCCCTGTGCGAGGCAGCATCACCTGGGAGCTTTAGAAAAGCAGGTTCTTGGGCCCATCCTTGGTTCAGACCTGCTGAATCAGAAGCTTGGATGTGAGGCCGGAGAAACTTTCAAGCAAGACTTGCAGGGGATTCTGGTGCCAGTGGAGTCTGAGGAGCACCAGCCTGGAGGCCCTTTAGGGGCCACTATAGAGGGACCCCAGGGTCTGACAACTGGTTTTGGGTCCCATGCCCAGATGGATTTCAGGAACACAATCGGGAACCTTCAATAGGCATGTAAATTATAGAGAATGAATGCTTCTGAAGTCCTGTTACGAGGGAGTCTGGCTCACCAGCTCCACATATTCACAACTAGATTGCCCCAAACAAAGCCAAATCCCTCTCGCATGCATGACCACAGCACACAACAGGAGCAACCTTAAGTGAACTATGCTGACAGTGACATCCAGGCAGTGCAGCCCACGAGTGCGAGGCACAGCTGCTGTGTGGAGCCCTTGTAGTTGTTAAACTTGGTGGCACCCACCCTAGGGACTCTTGAGACCCAGCACTGCACTGGAAAGGGGGGAATGCAGAGTTGGCTCCCAGGACTAAGGGTGCACTATTGGAGAGCTGCAGGGGTGGGGTGCAGAGTGAGGATGACTGGCTTAAGCCTGTGGCTTTCAGTATAGAACAACGAGAGCTTGAAATGATGCAAAAGCCCAGGTCAGACCACCTGTGTCTCCTCCCAGAAGCGGCTACTACCAGGCTGGAATACACCTGCCACCACTCTCCCTGCCCCCCCACCCCCCCAGCTAGAACCAAAATAACAAATTAACACTTGCATTAAGGAGGCTCAAACACCTATAAATGACAGTGGCAAACACCCTAGGATAAGGCTCTTTGTTGGGAAAGAGAGTAACTCCCAACCTGTGACTCCATATCAGCTGTAATCCAGGTTCAGTGCTGCATCTGGCTTGGAGTGGAAGTGGCCACAAGACAGCATGAGACACTGAGACTGAGGGGCTGGCCTAAAGGGGGATCGCCGTGGAGCCCCACCATACAACCCTGGCACCCACAACACACTGGGAGCTCAGATCCCTGGCGCTCACTGGAGATCATCTCATCCAACAGCCCACCATTTTACTAACCTCAAACCCTCAAGCAGAAATTAATAGAAGCAACACCTAAGGCACCAGAAGGAACCTAAACATAAAGGATGACTCAGAAAAATAAAACAACCACCAAAAACCGAAAACAATACAAAATGGCAATGCACACTTATATCTCAATAACCACCTTAAATGTAACATGAATTCACCAGTCAAAAGATAGAGAGTGGCTGAATGGATTTCAAAACAAAGTCCAACTGTCTGTTTACAAGAAGTTCATCTTTTGAACAAAGACAAGAATAGACTTAGAGTTAAAGGCTGGCAGACAGTCATTACACAAGCGAATGGTAATCTAAGAGAAAATCAAAAGCAGCTCCACTCAATTAAAAGAGGTAAGAGAGATGGACACTTTTATGATTAAGGGCCTAATACAACAAGAAGAAATAACACTCATAAATATATATTTAGCAAACAATGGAGACAATAACAGAACTAAAGATATTGATAATAACACAACTAGAGGATTTTAATATACCACTTACAGTAATGGACAGATCAACATGACAGTAAATAAGGAAACAATAACCTTAAATGAGGGGCTAGACCAAATAGGTCTGACTAGTGACATCTGCAGAACACTCCACCCCAAAACCACTGCATGCGTATTTTTTCTAAGGGCACATGGAACATTTCCAAGAACAGACCATATATTGAGACACGAGTCAATTGTCAGTAAAACTACAAAGGTTGAATTATACCTAATATTTTTTCTTGACCACAATGTTATAGAATCAGAAATCAACTATAAGGGGGGCAGGGCGGAAAACAAGAAAAACTGAATACATGAAGACTACAAGGCGCTGCTTAATAGCTGTTGGATTACAAAATTTAAAAATGCCTTGAGACAAAAATGATAAAAGCTACCAGAATCTCTGCAATACAATGAAAGTGGTCTTAAAGGGGAAGAGAATTGTAATACATGCCCACATTAAAAGCAAGAAAAATCCCAAAGAAACAATCTAATTCAAGCAACTTGAAAAAGAGAAGCAAGATCCGAAGTTAGTCAAAAGAAGGTAATAATAAAAATAGGAAATAAATGAAATAGAGATTTAAAAAAGACTATTAAAAAAGTCCTGTTATGCTCTGTTTTCAACAGTCCCCTTATGGCTCTTTTGGGGACCAGGTATTTTTATTTTTAGTGGAAACCAGTGCTGCCTTGTTGCCTAGGGGCTTAAGCTTTGGGTTCAAACCCCTGTCTGACCCCTGCTGGTTGGATGAGTTGGGCAAGTTACTTGAACTCCCTGTTCACTTGCTTCCTCATCTGTAAAACAGGCCAATGGTAGCCTCCTACAGAGTTATCATGAGTATTAGGTGAGATAAAATATGTAAAGTGTGTAGAACCATACCTGGTACTTTGTAATAAATATTAACTCTTATGAGCTATTATTATTGATAAAGTTACTGACTTGCCCATCTTCTTATCACTTTTGAGCTGTTGATAAAGAGTCATCCCTTTAACAGAACCTAAAACCAGTTTGTTTTGGTGTATTAAAACAAGGGGATGGCTTGAGGTAAGATGTGTAAATACATGCTTTCACCAAGTATCTTTTGCTCTTGATTCAGATTGAGAATTCAGCGGAGGAGTTTGCTTTGTACGTGGTCCACACCAGCGGTGGTAAGTCTGAAGAGCACAGTGTACTTGAAAACTTTTAATTAGCTCAAAATAGCAAGTTAAAAAAATACCTCTGTCTCGTTCACTTGTTTGCTTGGGTTTTGGGAACTTCAAGGGCTGTTTGCCTTCAAGGCTGGTGGGCTGAAGTCACTGGGGAATATGCCATTTATGGTCAATAAACAAATTCTCAAACTTAACTGCCTATTAAAAAAGGAACTGGCGGGCCTCCCTGGTGGCGCAAGGGGTTAAGTACTGCACTATGAAGCAATCTGCAGCCTCTGCAGCACGAGTTCGATCCCCGGCCAGCCAGGGAGCAACCCACATGGTGCAGCAGACCTCTCCTGCCTCGCCCGCTGCTCCCCTCAGCAGTGTATTTCAATCACTCTACCTGTTCTGTTCCCTACTCTGTCTCTGGTGAATCCTCTCACCCCCACCCCTCATCTCTGGCCTGTACCCCAGCTCTTGTAATCATAAATAAATAAATCTTAAAAAAAGAAATATATTTAAAAAAAGAAACTGGATTTTCTCAAGAGATGGACAAAACCATTTCCTGTAATGCAGCATCTTCCAAAGGGTTTGCGGCATGTGATTTTCATTGGAGAATGGAGTGAGCGGAGGGGACACCTATACAATTGTTTGTTGACAAATCAGTCTCCTGACTTGTACAGCTGCATTGCCTAAGATGCCTGGTCCATTCAGGACCCGCAGTTGAGCACTACTAATGGTGAGAAAGGCCTCAGGCTGAACTCAGACTTGTTCTTGGCTGTGTGTGGTTCCAGAGAAACAGAAGCTGAAGAACACTGACTACCCATTGATTGCCCGAATCCTCCAGGGCCCCTGTGAGCAGGTCTCTAAAGTGTTCCTCATGGAAAAGGACCAGGTGGAGGAAGTCACCTATGATGTGAGTCTCCTTTTGGTTGAATGATGTGTCCTCAGGAGGCCGGGGGTTTGGTTGGGATATCTGTAGCTGATTTTCAGCTTGACTTTTGGCCAAGGATCATGCACCATGTTGCTGCTATTCTTCAGTCCCAGGTTTTCTTAATCAGTAATGGCCATGGGGCGGGGAGAATGAATACAGAGCCTAGGTTGAGGCCTGTGGGAGTTTTGGAGGAATGCTCAGATACAAGTGAAATAAATGTCTTGAGCCTTTCTGGGATATGGTAAGAAGGCTGAGAAGTTTCTGTGAACCCTCTCTTAGCAACTTCAAGAAGCTGGAAATGATTTTATCTTATCTTATGTATTAGCTTTGCTGCAGTAACAAATGTCCTCAAATCTTAGTCACTTACAACAGCAAACATCTACTGTTTTTCCTTGGGACTCTGCAGACTGGTGGCCGTGGCGATGATTTAGGCTGAGGGTTGAGTTCAGGTCTGCATTGCATATCTCATGCAGAAAGCCAGACTCAAGGGGCAGTGGCCATCTGGGGTAGGCTTCTGATGGCAGATGGCTAGAATGCAAGAAATCAGAACAAATCATGTAAACCCATTTGAAATTTTCATTCAGATTTGATAGAGCTCAAGTCCACACCCATTCCATGGGCCAAAAGCAAACCACATAGCCAAGGCCAGTGTTGACAGGGTAGAAAACTGTACTTCTCCCATGGAGAGGAGTTGATAGAGTAGGGTCAGGACAGTTTAATTTCTGCTCACCTAGGAGCTACCCCCATCCACACAACTTCTCAGATGCAAGTTCACATGTGGATGCTTGTTTGAGACTTAAGACACAAATGATTCTGAGCATGGTTCCTTAAATTGTCTTAGGGGAGAACAAAGGAGTTTATTAAATATCTCGGGTTCAGGTCTTGCTCTGCATCACTGACTCGAGAGAAAGTGCTTTTGCATGTGTGACATCACCTCATCTTGGACTGAATACATGAGATGAAAATGAGAAGTAGTGAGATACATGTCATTGCACATACGAGATATGTGTCGTCTGTACCAGCCTTGGAAGCATGAGACTTGGTCCCTAAGGAAGTCCTGCATTAGTGCACACGTAGCTGCCCCACAGCTTTGTGCCTTACGTGAGAGAGATGCCAAAAGGAATTGGAATAAACCTGGGAGGGGACATACAGCCCAGAATGACTTTTTCCTCCCCAGGTGGCCCAGTATATAAAGTTCGAGATGCCAGTCCTTAAAAGCTTCATCCAGAAACTCCAAGAGGAAGAAGATCGGGAAGTCAAGAAGCTGATGCGCAAGTAAGCTTGGCCAGTAGGGTGGCTAGAGGGTCTCCCCTGGGCCCTGACGGAGTGGGGCTCTTATCGGGTGCTCTGCAGGGGCGGGGACAGCTGCTGCAGGAGTCTGGGTCTTAGGAACCTTCTTTAGGGAATGGTCCATGGACAAACCTGGATCTCATCTGGGCATGTGAAATTTAAGTGTGTTGGTCTCTCTGCTTCTGATGTCAAATTCTCATTTTGATTTTGAGAGATGTGGGACATAAAAATATTCCAGGGATTTCAGGAAGGTTCTCGTCACAATGAAAAGTAGTCTGAGTAACCTCCTTCTTTTTTTTTTTTTTTTTTTTTTGTGGGACCCTCGCTGGTGGCCAGGGAATGAACCGGCGCTGCAGAGGCTGTGGGCAGCCTCGCAGCCCAGCACTCAACTGCTGTGCCACCAGGGGAAGGCCCGTAACCTCCCTTTTTAATATTTTCCTTCAGAAGTTGCATTTGGGTTAAAACGATTTCTCTTTGGAGAGGATGTGATTTTTGGGGGCCATGTTTTTCCTAAACTAGATTGCATTTCTCAGGTATGTCTTATGTCAGAACAATGGATTCATTTTTACCACTAAATAATAAAACCAATGGTATATTTGCTTTGTGGATGATAATAATTAGCATGAAAGTTAACACTGAATAATTACTATATGCCCAACTTAAAAAACAGCTTTTGCTGTGCATTGCAAAGCCCCAAACATAATAATTGTCCTCTTTAGCCTTGCCTAACAGTGCCCACTCCAGTGCTGGCATAGCCATATAGCCATAGTTCAGGGAAGGGAGGGGGAAACTGCACTTACCCACAAATCATGACCCTCCTCACCTGCTAGTTGCTGTGGCAAAATGCAAAATGCACTAAATACCAGGTTGAATCATGAATATACCATTATAGCCTCCCCACTCATTATAGCCTCCCCACTCCTGCCCAAATGGTCAAATAATGATGATTTCATATGCTCTAGCCCATGTGACGATTATATGTTACTGTGCATGTGAGGTAGTATGCACAGTGCCTTGCACATAGTAGTGAACGGAACCAGTGATTGTTATTATCTCACCATCTCCTCTTTTTTCCAGACTGTATCCTTGGTAGGATAAGCTAGTTTGAATTTGGCCTCTTCAGTCACTCTCTGTCCTGTTGTGGAAATGCATACAAGCAGCACAGTGACCGAAGAGTGGGCCAATGAAAGAAGCAAAGGGACAGGACGCTTACCCAAGTGGCAGGGAGGCTCAGGAGGGGGTGTGTGCTGGTCTCCACTCCACCACAGCTGTTTCTGCCCCCAGGTACACGGTGCTCCGGCTGATGATCCGGCAGAGGCTAGAGGAGATAGCCGAGACCCCAGCAACAATCTGAGCCATGAAAGGGAGGGATCCCGACTCTTCAGGGACCGCCTCTGACATGGGAAGACCCAGTGGAAGCTGGACGCCTTCCGTCTATGGAAACATTTAAATGCCAACCTCTGCGACTCCTGTCTGGCCACCGTGCTGCCTGGAGCAGGATGGAGATGTCAGCAGACAGGTCTCCTTTCTTGCACTTTTGTTATAGGGAGAGCCCAAAATATATGTGTGTGTGTATGTGTGTGTCTGTGTGTGTGTGTGCACGCACGCATGTGCACAAGGTACATGTCCACATGGTAAACTGATATTTTCACATGCAATTAAATTCCAAGTAACCAGCACAAGTGCCAGAGGACCAGGGGGTGTGCTGCTTAGAGGAATCACTGATCTGAGGGGCTTTAGACTGAAGAAGAGTTTTCTCCCTTCAAGGGTCAGGGAGCAGCCACACCTATTGACTCAAGTTTAGAAGGAGAAGTGGACTCAGCTAGCTCACTACTTGTGGTATGCAGATGCTAGTTTGAGCTTCTCCAAGCAGCCTCAGAAGATGGGCCAGAGGAATTTAATAACAGTCCCATGATCTTGGGGCAGGTCTTGTGGAAGGAAAGAAAAACCATCAGTGCAATAAGCCCACAGTTTTTACACTGGAAACTTTGTGCTGATTTGTGTGTCTGCCAGTAGAATATGGATTCTTCCTGTCTTGTCCCAGGGCCACCTCTATGGAGAGGAGCCCAGAACGTGAGTATTCTCTCAGCCCACCCAACTGCCTACCCTGCCTCTGGCGCCTCCTTGAGTTGAAGGCAGGGTCTCATGAAGCAGGCCTTGCTGGTTTGCACACGGTGCTGGCTGCCGGTGTGGCCAGTGCCTCGCCTTGTTCTGGGTGGTGGCCAGGAAGTTTCCCTCCTTAGAGAAATGTAGAGAGAGAAATGACAGGTGCTGTGAATCCAGCTCATTTCCCCACCATCCAGGGGTCTGCCTGCTCTTGCTTCTGGACCATGTGTATGAAGTCAAGGCTTTATTCTTCCCAACCTCAGGACTCTTGCAAGTTGCCCTCACCTTGTTTGTGAAGATGGAGCCCAAGAATGAGGCCTCGTCCTGCTACTGACCCAGTGTGGGGTTCAAGGAAGCTTTCAGGCTCCCCGGAGAGGGAGGATGAAGCTGAGAGAACTCACTCCTTGGAGCAGACAGCTGAGTGGTCTTTAGAAAAGACCCAGCAGGGGAGGGGCCTGGGCCTGCCTCTGGTGGCCCTGCAGGAAGCTGTGCCTCTGATGTACATTGAAGAGAGCCTGACAGAGGCTGGGAGCGGGGTGCCTGACTCTGGACTGACCAAGCCAGGTCAGTGACACTTCATAGGAGACGTCTCTGTTCTCTTTGGGGTACGGGTACACCCTGCCTCTTTTCTACCTCCTCTTCAAGGAAGGTTTGGAGAGCTGGTCAGTTGAGGTGAGACAACTGCAAGGCTAGTGGACCTTTGCAGTGGGTGGGGGGCACTGTTACTACTCAGACACCCCTCTACTCTACTTGCCCCTCCTCAGCCTCCATGGTCTCTTCAGGTAACTCACAACTGCAGACACATTGCCTTTCAAACAGAGGGAATGCTGCCATCTGGCATTTTGCGGGGATCTGTCATCATCCTACCTCTGTGGGGATAGCATCAACCCTTGGTCTTAATCAAACACCTCACTGGGCTTCTTTATCGTGCACAGAAGAAAAAAAAAAACAACAAAATCGAGGGTGGGCACAGAGAGCTTCCTTTGTTAGGATGGGAACCAGCAGTTTTGTGAATGCAGTCGGACTTACATCCTGGGTTTTATATTTGAGAAAATGAAAACTTACCAACTAGTTATTTTAATTTCGAAAGTTCAGAGCCTTTGTTGGGAGTCTCCAGGGATCAGGGAAGTTAGGAGAATTTCCACAAAGCAAATTACTAACCGCGGACTTTTTTTGGCTCACTATTTTTGGTTTGTGAAAGTTTTTGATAATTTGCTCTAGCTTTGATGGTGTTAAATATGGAGATGTTGCAAAATGTCCGCTGTGGCAATGCCAGTTCACTCTCTAACATCGTGATACTAAGGTAGGACTGCATTTTTAAAGATGGGGTGAGTGTGAGAAGAAAGTGAACCGTACACAATAGGGACCACTTCCTGCAGGTCACACTTTTCCATGAGTGGCCTGTCCTGTGGAGAGATCATGTCCTGATAACATGACCAGGAATTTTGGAAAGGGCCTTTGAAAAAGTAGCAGTTGAAACGAGACACCGCGGCCCTGTGGAGCGGGGCTTTCTCACTGGTATCGCATGGCCTGGCAGCTTGGAACTCCTTGACTGATTTGTGTGGGTTTATGTAATTAAGTGCAATGACCTTGAAATTGTGTGAAGAACAAAAGGCCAGTTTATGGTTTTTCCCCCTAACTTGTGAAAAGCAGTGTAGCCACATCTGGCTTTCTTTTTCCAGTGGCTTATGTTACAAGGTGATCAAATGAAGGAAAAACCTGACTCCATCTGACAGGAAGGGGGTCTGTTCCCCCAGGTGATGGTGGCATTAAGCACAAGGTCACATGCTCTGTGATCACAGCGGGATGGTGATGGGTTAAGTGCTTGAGGTCCGGGAGGTTACCATGGGGAAAAAATGAAAAGCACAAATAACAACCTTGCCTGTGCCAGGTGGGAGGTATGCAGGTTTGTCTGAGGGTTGGAAAGGTTTTAACTGAGCTCCAGTTGAGGCAGGAGAACCTCAGATAAGCTGCCCATATGCATGAAATACTGGGACCTGAGGTGGAGCTTGGGTGCTGAAACTTCAAGGAGAAATATTTTCACTCTTCTTTCCTCCTTACCATACTTTGTTCTAGACATCTCCAGATACAGACATTTCTCCATCGGTGTAGATAAAGCTTCGGCATATAATGACAAAAGAAAAATGTTGTTTTCCTGAGGTAGAAACTTCTGGGCAGGAATTCATTTCTGCAGCTTATGTGGTGATTTCAGATTATCAGGGTGGAATGCACCACAGAAGGGTAAGAAACTCTCAAGAAGAAAATTACTTCAAAGCTCTGTAGCACAGAGGACACAGCGTCATAGAAACATCTCCAAGAGAAAAATGTATATGAGCAAAGGATTTTCAGGGGTTCAAAGCGACCCAGCCATGACATGGGGGCTGAGATGGGAGACAAAGGAGATTCCTTCAGCACTCGTGATGCAGCAGCACTTAAATTATTTTACACAAAATCTTGCTTGAGGCAGATGAAATGAGAAATAATCTCCTGGAGTGGTGAAAATAAAAACCAATGTGCACCCCATCCTCCAGATGTAATTGAAAGTGTTTACCTAGTCACCTGTGCACCCCGTGTTTTAACCAAGCACAAAACACCAACAAGCTGTGAAGGGAAAGCCTCAGTTTACTGTTAGTGTCTTCCTGACAGATGCGTTTTCTAGGCAGATGGTTTGCGGTGTGTTACCGCTAGTGTGTCTTAAGGGTATGTCCACTTCTTTAAGTTTTGTGAAATACTCTTTTCTTACTCATAACTTGCCTTTCAGCAATGGTACATGACCAGGTTCAATGTTTGGTTTTGAACTTTAAACTGATGTGTTTTGGTATCTTAATATAATTTGACAAGGCTTCAGTAGGGAGCCTAGGGATTCTGTAACATTTTGATATGTGTAAATGCACCTGACTTAGAACTTGTGAAATAAAGCACTTTTCAAAGAAAATTTCTTGGTGGCTGGATCTCTGTATGTCTGTTGGGTGGGAGGCTCTGAGTCATGACAGGGTGGGAAAAGGAATATGAAGTCCTGTCCGGGAGATGAGTTGATTGCCTTCTAGGTTTATGGCTTGAATGGGCTCAGAGTTGGCTGTAATGTTTCTGATAGGAAGTGAAATGAAAATATCCCATATGCCTCTCGAGTTCTGGCTCTGATGGAGCCAAGAGCTGTGGTAGAAAGAGCTGGAAGTACCCTTTGGTGAGACTGGATTTTCTTTCCTATTTTATCCATGACTTGTGAGGCCAACTCACTGAACCATTTTCTAGGTCTTGGTTTCCTTATCCATAAAATGCCCAAGTCATCCTGCAGGGTGTGGGGGCCTGAACTTCTACTGGGGGCAGGCCCCGAGGAGTCACCAAGCATCAGGCCTTCAGAACAGGGCCCAGCTTCCAACCTGTGGTGTGGGGAAAAGCATGACAGCTAATTTTACGTGTCAACTTGGCTAGGCCATGGTATCCAGGTATTTGGTCTATTTGTCTGGAGCTATCTTAAAAACTAAAAATGGAAATGCCACACGATACAGCAATCCCACTTTTGAGTATTCAAAGAACACAGAATCATCAACTTGAAAAATTGTATGCTCTATGGTGTTTACTGTGACAATATTTATAATATTTACAATATGGAAGCATCCTGCGTGCCCACCGAAAAAGGACAGGATCAAGAAGATGTGGCCCACCCACTTAACGAAAAACTATTCAGCCATAGAATATGATGAAGTGCTACCATTTACAGCAAAATAGAAGGAACTTGAGGGGATAACGCTAAGTGAAGTAAGCCAGAAAGATAGACAAATATTGTACTACGTATCTGAGTAATACAAGGAAACAAAACAGACAAAGTGATAAAATAATTACAAACTTTTGAATATTGCTAATCAAACTGAAGCTCTTCGGGTTAAGAGGGAGGGAGAAAGGATCCAGGAGGCATAGGGGATGATGGTGGGGAATTAAAAAGAACAAAAGTAAAAACATGGTAGATAGGACCTCTCTAGTGTTTCAATGGATTGAGCACAGCACTGTGAAGCTGTCCTCAGCCTCTGCAGTGCAGGTTTGATTCCTGGCCGGCCAGGGAGATACCCACATGGCATGGCAGACCTCTCCTGCCTCACCCGCTGCTCCCCTTGGCAGTGTCTTCGGTCCGTCTGCCTGTTCTGCTCCTCACTCTGTCTCTGGTGAATCCTCTCACCCTCCTGTGCCTCTGGCCTGTACCCCAGTTCTTGTATAAATAAATAAATCTTTAAAAAAAAGCCAATTAAAAAAAACATGGCAGACAGTCTTTGCTATGCAGAAAACCAACCCTAAATGTAGTGACTTGAAACAAGTATCAATATCACATGATTCTTTGGGTTGTCAGTTTGGACTGAGACCAGCTGGGTGGTTGTACTTTTGATCTCAGTGGACTCATTCATGAAGCTACAGTCAACGGGCAGTTGGGCCGGGGTTGGGTAGTATAGGGTGGTTGCCTCGGAGCTAGTGGTGTGCTAGCTGGTTACCAGAGTACCTGGTTCTTTACCACATGAGTGTTCTAAATGTGCAAGAACAGATTCCTTCATCCCCAGTTCATTCCACACCACACTCACACATGCACACGCGCACACACACTCATACACACACCACTAGTCTAGAGATGGCTGGGAAGGTGTTTTTTTTTTTTAGATCAGATTAACATTTAAAACAGTAGACAGAGTAAAGCAGAATCTCCTCGTAATCAGTCACTCATTCAATCAAAGACCTTTGGAGAAAAGGACCTGCCCCCCAAAGGAGAAGGAATTCTGCCTCCAGTCTGCCTTTGGACTTGATCTGCAATATCAGCTCTTCCCAGAATCGCCAGCCTGCTCACCTGCCCTGCAGATTTCAGACTTGCCAGCAGCTACAATTGTGTGGGACAATCAACTCCTTACCATAAGTCTCTATGTGTCTGTCATCTTGGCTGTGTTTCCCTGGGGAACTCTTGACTAACACAGAGGGCTTATGTGATTGGTTCACGGAGTCTGGCAATGTGATTGACAGTTGTCCTCTAAGAGACCTGGCCATGGAGCAGAGATAGTGACCAATATAATTTGGTTTCTTTGAAAAAGGAAACAACAAAGGCACATTTTTAAACAATGCTCCCAAACAATGTGAGTGTGTAGGTAATTTTTATTTAAAGAGATAGAGAATTTTGGATAAATCATGTTCCCTCTTAGTGTTGTTTTGATTTCCTATATTTAGAATTTTTATTCCACACAGAAGTCTTTTAGTTGCTTCATTAAGTTGGATGAAACAGATGAGCAGAAAGTTAACACTTACAAAGCAGTGAGATTTTTATACTGTGTATCATGTGATATAGGCAACTTAGACAAAAGAGAAATGGTCCTTTTGGGGACTCTGCCAGATTCCTAATCAGGCTGTAAGACTTAGAGAAGTTGAGTGCCTAAAATCACTGAACAAATACTTCTGCCAAAGGAGCTGGCAGCTCTTGGCTTGCTTTATGGAAACAGATTTTATGAAATAATTGATGTTGTCTATTTTAAGGTAATGAAGTTATTACTGGATGGAGTTTGCTGTGAGCACAAGACTTTACTGTGAGTTTTTAATGAATTCATTCAAATGGGTTTGCTGAGACGCAAACACTGAAAATTAAACTTGGGTAAAATTGACATTGCTATTTTCACTTCAAAATCATGCTGAATAAAAATTATGATGATTTAAATATGTAAATCATATAAATACATAAATCAACTATGTATACATAATAATTATACATAGCTGAGAATATACTTTATTAGTATCTAAGTTAACATTAGAGGTTTTAATTCTGGACCCACTGTAGGGACTACAAGTCCTAGTTTGCTTAGGATGGATCCAATTTATTCCAACTTATGCTCCAATTTATGTAATCATCAGTAGCACCCTCTTTACTCTCAAAATGTGCCCGTGTGGATGACAGATATGGTTACTCTAAGCATTGGCTATAAAGTAGCCTATCATAATTTTAATACATGAATTGAGCATTCAGTTGGAATTTAAATGTTCAGTTTAAACTTTAGGGTGAATGGGCCTTCCCTGGTGGTGCAAGGGTTGAGACACAACCTATGAAGTTATTTGCAGCCACTGCAGCACCAGTTTGTTCCCCGGCCAGGGAGCTACCCACTTGGCACAGCAGACCTCTCCTGACTTGCCTGCTGCTCCTCTCAGCAGTGTATTTCAGTAGATCTGCCTGTTCTGTTCCCCACTTTGTCTCTGGTGAATCCTCTCACCCCCCACACCTCTGGCCTGTATGCCAGTTCTTGTATGCATAAATAAATAAATCTTTTTTTTTAAAAAAAGGAAAAAAAAACTTTAGGGTGGAACTGAAATCTAAACAAATGGCATGTTGGAATGCAAAATATGAGTATTTTATTTATCAATGTTTAGATCACACTGATGTAAACATTTTTTTAAAGATTTATTTATTTATGCATACGAGAGCTGGGTGCAGACCAGAGGTGGAGGGGGTGAGAGGACTCACCAGAGACAGAGTGGGGAGCAGAACAGGTGGGTCCACTGAAATACACTGCTGAGGGGAGCAGTGAGCAGGACAGGAGAGGTCTGCTGTGCCACACGGGTTACCTCCTTGGCTGGGAATCGAACTCGTGCTGTAGTGGCTGCTGACAGCTTCATAGTTGCGTCTTAACCCCTTGAGCCACCAGGAAGGCCCCTGATGTAAACATTGTTGCATTAGAATGAGGTACATTTTTTTTTCCATAGTAGAATTTTGAAATTGGACATTTGAGTTTTAACTATGACTTTGAACATCATACTGCCCATGTGGTAGAGGGGATCGGCAGCACCCAGATTTGGGTCTCTTACTATATCCTCCACAGAGAGAAACCTTCTCAAGTAGAAGGGGGGTAGCTGGTGCAAAGGTTGGGGGCTGGAGGAACATGACAGCCCGAGTGTGTTGTGCTAATAGAGAGTAATTATGTCTCAGAGATGTCTGGGATATAATTTTGGGAACAAACTGCTGATGAGAATTCCCACGCATAGTGAAGATTCAATGTCTGGCTATAAAAAGCCTTGAATCCAAAATGATCCCAAGGGAAGATTCCAAAGAACAGATTTAAGAAATATATTTATAAAAATGTAATGTATTGTTTGACTTAAATTGTTAAAGATCCTTACTCCAATTTGGGCTATGACACAAGTTGTCACAAAAATTAATTTAAGTAGTCTGGCCCAAAGCTCTTGGGATAACTAAACAAAAAAGAGAAAACTAAAATATCTACCCATTAAAAGTTGAATTTAAGATGGCAATAATAATCTCAAAAGAAATTATAAGAAATACTCAATGAATTTTGTAAGGTTGCTGAAAAAATATGAATATACGCAAAATCTTTTTGTTTCTACTTGTCATTCATAAGGATTATGAAGTAATTTTAAAATGGAAAGACGTGTCTCATTTATGAGATTGGAAAAATAACAGCTCTCCCCAAACTGAACTAAGTGATCACCTGGGGACTGTCAGGTGGGGATGGAATTCCAGGGACTTTGACTTAATTCCTCTAGGGGGTGCCTCTGATGGCAGGATTTTTTTTTTTTTTTTTAAGATTTATTTATTTATTTATACAAGCACTGGGTACAGTCAGAAGCGCAGGAGGGTGAGAGAATTCACCAGAGCCAGAGCGGGGAGCAGAGCAGGCAGAAGGACCGCAGCACACTGCTGAGGGGAGCAGCGGGCGGCAGGAGAGGTCTGCGCGCCATGTGGGACCCTCCTCCGGTGGCCGGGGAGCAGCCGGGGATCGAACCGGCGCCGCAGAGGCCGCGGGCAGCTTCGCAACCCAGCTCTCAACCGCTGCGCCACCGGGGAGACCCTGATGGCAGGATTTTTAACACTGTCCCTTACTATCCCTACCTGGCCCATTCCTATATGCACTGGATTTGAGAACCACTCCACAAACTATAAGTAGCCCCCTCCCCACGTCCAAAGAACCTAAACTTAGAAATC